TGCATCCAAAGCCCCAGTCTTTGCTCGATCAAGGATCGTGAAGATAGCCTGGATCAGGCTTGCCCGATCCATGCCTGCAGCATCTGATCCTCTCAGCGATTGCACGAAACTTCTACGGCCCCAAGAACTGCTAGAGACCGAGTGGCGCGCTGACTGCAGATGCGGCATTCCGTCCATAGACGCTTTGCTGCTCTTGCCGACTTGCATCTGCAAGTTTAGCAGGGCCTGTCGAAGCTCATCATCATCTGTCTCGTCATCATCCTCGATTAGCTCGTTGAACTGGCTTCGTGTGATGCCACTACTCTGCGACCAGCCGAAATGCTCACACATAGCTGCAAATTGTTCTTCCCAGTCTGCGTCAGTGCCATCAAATCCTGTTTGCTCTGCATATGCTCTCACCTGTGCTGCATCCAAAGCCCCAGTCTTTGCTCGATCAAGGATCGTGAAGATGGCCTGGATCAGGCTTGCCCGATCCATGCCTGCAGCATCTGATCCTCTCAGCGATTGCACGAAACTTCTACGGCCCCAAGAACTGCTAGAGACCGAGTGGCGCGTTGACTGCCGACGTTGTGCCTGCAAACTGACTAGCACACGGCGGAGTTCTTCATCGCTGTGTTCAACTTCATCACCAATGAACTCTAGAAACTCGGGCTGGGAGACACCATCAGCAGGGTTGCAGCCGAAGTGTTCACACATGGAGTTGAACTGGCTAGCCCACTCATCAGCATCACCTTCGAAGCCGCTCGCCTCTGCAAATTGTCTGAGCTGTGCTGATAAAAGCCTCGAACTTCCAGACGTGTCGAGAAGCGAAAAAATGTTGGATGTCATCTCCGACCGTGACATGTTCTTCGTGCTGTCCACGTTGGGCAAATGCAGCAGGCTTCTTCGCTGCCATGACGATCCCACGACGGACGGCCTGCTGCTCTTGCCGACTTGCATCTGCAAGTGTAGCAGGGCCTGTCGAAGCTCATCATCATCTGTCTCGTCATCATCCTCGATTAGCTCGTTGAACTGGATTCGTGTGATGCCACTACTCTGCGACCAGCCGAAATGCTCACACATAGCTGCAAATTGTTCTTCCCAGTCTGCGTCAGTGCCATCAAATCCTGTTTGCTCTGCGTATGCTCTCACCTGTGCTGCATCCAAAGCCCCAGTCTTTGCTTGATCAAGAATCGTGAAGATAGCCTGGATCAGGCTTGCCCGATCCATGCCTGCAGCATCTGATCCTCTCAGCGATTGCACGACGCTGCGACGACTCCACGGCTTGCTAGAAAGCTGAAGGTCACCTCGAGCATTCAGTAGTGCGTGACGGAGAGCTTCTGTGCTCGCTTTCGATTCATCTGCCAAGGCTTCCACGAATTGCGCCTTTGTCAGGCCTTTGGAATTCTGCAAGCCAGGCAGGGTTGTTCCGGTCAGATCAGCCAGACGCTTCAACCCAGCAATGGGCAGCACATCACCCTCAGCCAGTACACCATACAGCTCATCCAACACCTCCGCTCGGCCGAAGCTTTTGTAGCGCGAGGCCACCAAGCTCCTGCGAGCCTGAACCGCCTCGCCTTGTGGAAGGTTGAAGAGCAGGACCTGCAGCTCCTCATTGCCTTGGGCTTTCGAGCTTTCCAAACTTCCTGCTGAGTCCTACTACTGCCCCATCCAGAATCTATGTGCTACCCAGCAAACTCGTGTTCTCCTCATCCCCAATGAAGTCACGGAACTGGGATCTGCTCACTCCTGATTCATCACAAAAAGGTGATCGGATGCACCAGCTTATGACAATGCATCGCATGCCTTCAGATTCACTCCAGTGGAGGCTTTCGCACATACCATGGAACTCAGCATTCCAATCAGCTTCATCACCATAAAAGCCAGTCAAATGTGCCTGAGGCATAGCTGTGCAAGCATCTCAAAGCACATTGGGAAATTCCCAATCTGAATGGCATGAGATTCATCTTGCAAGAAAGGTTGCAAACTGGCGCATGCCTTTCGAATCCAGCTTCTGAGTCTGCTTCCGATCTAAAGCATTGAAAACTGCCTGGATACAGGCAGATCAGAAATCCATGTGTACAACTGCCATCAAACGCCTGCACCCGCATGAGCTTGCTGAAGTCTATTGCAAAGCTTTAAGGGCAACCAGGTCACGTCAACCAACTCCTTCCTAGACATCTGCTGAATCTCCTGCCGCAATTCTCACGTCTCATGCGCTGGTGCATCGTGCTTACCACATTTCCCCCGAAACGTCAAACCAATGACCTGTCGTGTCAGTCGGCCACGCGGAGGCCTAAGTTGTAATAGACAAGCTCTTTCTGGTGTTACAAGCACATGCAGGAGTTTACCGAAAACAGAAACGGTACGGGGGTTTTGATTCTGAGTGGGCTCTCGCTGGGTGTCCTTTTCTCATTGTGAATTGTGCGTATTCTGATTCTCGACAAGCTTGGCAACATATCTGTTGTTTCTAATTTGCCCTGGCTGGCGCTTCCCCTTTTAGGACTCTGCATTCATGCATACTACAAACTCATGACCCACCCCCAATGTGGTGGTGTGATGTGAAGTGGCGTGTTGACCTTCCCTTGTTCGCAACAAGGCTTCCTTTCATACCCTGCTCAGAGGGAAACATGCAAGCGGACACAAGCACGAGTTTCCCGGGAAGTGAAGCTGTTTCTACTGGATGTAGACACTTCTGCAGGCTCGTACGGTTGTGGAGGGCATCAGGGTGAGAGCTCGCAAGGAGTACTTAAAGCGCGTTATCGCAATCAGGTTCCCCTTCGCCAAGCTCTCCAGAAGATTTTTCAGAAACGACAAATGTTTGTGGGGGCCAAGGCCCCAGGCCCCTGGTGGCCCGACCTACAGGCAGCGGAGGTCCAAGGCTGGGGGCTGCCCAAGCATGCTCATCAGGCCACCCGAGAAGCTGCCCTATTAACCTGCCCTGACCTACCCTAGCCACCTAATCACCCACCGCCCTACCCTGCCCTCACCTGCCCTGACCACCCACGACCCTAACCACTCACCGCCCTACCCTACCCTAACACCACCCTACCCTATCCTAACCTTCCCTAACCACCCACCACCACCCACGACCCTAACCACCCTCCACCCTACCCCACCCTAACTTGCCCTAACCACCCCCCCCACCCCACCCTACCCACCACCCTACCCGTGACCTACCCCGACCACCCACCCTCCCTACCATAACCTACCCGACCACCCTAACCACCCACCAGCTAACGCTGACCTTGGGGTCCATACTTGGATCGGAGATTTTTTGGTCTGGTTACAGCACAAGGAGCTCCGGTCGAGACTGGAGTGCTTGCGGATGTACTGTGATCCATCCTTTTTTTACGGTGATCGGACCAAAAGCCACCCCGCCCCCGGCCCTCCCCCAGCCCTCCCCCCTGGCCCTCTAGCCTTCCCTCCCTGCCGGCCGTTCCGCTTTTTGCTAGCTTCCAAACTAACTATGCAGCTGGAGGACTGTGCAATTGCCAGACAAATGTTTAAGGAAATTTTACTAGGCCATTAAGGTATTGGTCCAAGCGATGCGTGAAATTCTGGAAACTTGATTGAGCTTGCCGTTCTCTAACCTGCATAAAAAAGTGCAGTGAGCGGTCCAAGCGATGGGAGAAATTCGGGAACCTCGATTCAGAAACCGCCCAGGTGCATTTCAGAAACTTTCCAGGCGCACTTCAGAAACTTGGAAGGCGCATTTCAGAAACTTGTTCAAGTCTGCGCAACTATAAAGATTTGCAAATGGCTCAGGTAATGTTCATCAAGGCTGGTATGTGAACTGCCCTCGAAAAGGTTTTGCGAGTTTCTGAAGTGCGCCTGGGTAGGTTCTGAAATGAGCCTTCTAGATTTCTGAAATGCGCCTGGCAAGTTTCTCAAATGTGCCTTGGAAGTTCCTGAAATGCGCCTTCTAAGTTCCTGAAATGCGCCTTGTTG